CCCAGCCCCAGCCGGCTGCTGCCTGCAGGCCCGGGCAGGTTGCTGTCCCAGTCCCAGCATCCGCCAGCCAGGCCGAGCCGGGCGGAGGCTGGAGGGAGCGCGGAGGCGGCTGCCCGTCGTGGAATGGGGAGTCAGGCTCTGAGGTAAGGGGATCAGCGCCGGCTCGGCCGCGCGCCGCTGGCTGGGGGCTTCGCGTGGAGGCGGCGATCCACCCGGCCCCTGGCATCAGGCGGCGGCGGGGACCCCCCGCGCCCGCAGAGCCGCTGGGAGACGCCGGCCCGCCTGGTCCCCAGGAAGAGCCTTGTCCCACGGTGAGTCCCCTCCCCGCCCATCTTGGGGCCCAGCCCAGCTCCCTCTTCTTTGCTCCAAGCTCCGGGGAACTCCCCCCTCCCTGGCGCCCCTGCTCGGCGGGGCAGAGCGCTCAGGCTGCCCTGCGGAGAAGGGGGAGGGGGTGTCTGGGTTTTGCGCCCAGAGCCATGCTCCCCACGCCCGCCGCACTGCTCGTCCCCAGCGGGGCCTCCTGGCTGGGTCTGTTCCAGTCTCTTCTGCTGGAACACCCCCCCCCCCCCGCAGTGTGGTCCCCCTAGGAATCAGCCCACGCTGCCCACTAAGCTTGATCTACACTTAAAAGTTAGGTCATCACAGCTACGGTATTTAGGGGGGTGAAAAATCCACAGCCGAGTGCCACAGCTATGCCAGTCAAAGCCTGGGTGCCACAGCTATGCCAGTCAAAGCCTGGGTGCAGACTTGCTGACTTAACCCACACTCTATACCCAGGTCAATCAAAGAATGCTTTCCCTAGACCTAGCGCTGTTACTCAAGGAGGTGGTGTTCAGGGGTGCTGGAACAATTTGTATAGTGAGGGTGCTCCCGGTGCTGAGAGCCATTGAACTAAACTGTAAACCTATGATGGAAACCTCTTCAAGTCAGCACCCTTATTTCCAGCACATATGGTGGTGGTCCTACAGCAGAAAAAACCGTGTCTGTGCTACAGTGTTAGGCTTTGTCTACACTGGCAACTGAATGACAAAACTTTTGTCTTTCAGAGGCATTAAAAAAACACCACACCCCAAAAGACAAACGTTTTGCCGATGACAAGCGCTCTCCTGCCAACAAAGCAAATGCCACTCAGGGGCAAACGTTTTTTGTCGGCAGAAGAGCTCTCTCTCCTGCTGACAAACCCTTTTAGCGGCACATCTGTAGTGACACAGCCATGTCGCTAAAAGGTGCATAGTGTAGACATAGCTATGCCACTATAGTCACTGTAGTGTAGACATGGCTTAACTTGAATGCTGAAATAGAAATAAATCTCCTCCTACAGACCATATCAATACACACATCACTACTATATTTTGTTCAAACTACAGATCATTAGTTTCATCCTAGATAGAAAAAGTCTCAGACAATACTTAATAAGGATTATTTGTCAGGGCTTGTAGGCAGTGTTTGTAATAGTACCTGGTAGGTTTCCCCTCTTACCATTAACAAGTAGGATAATAGAATTTAGATCCACACTTCTACTAATTATTGTATATGTAATTTTGTAACTTCCCATTTTAACTGCATCTGCCCTGATAATATTTTTGAACTCATGATTTGTCAGTAAAAATAATATTGTACTTTGCTTTTAAATTTCAAAGGAAACGTGATTTTGGAAGACACTGATTATATTTTAAATTTAATCAACTGGTAAACCCCATTTGAAACCTCACTTGAAATAGCGCTATTTGTGTAATAGTGAACATGCAAGGAGATACAGTCAATTTTAAATCTAGTCAATTCAAAGATTAAAAGTAGTTTCATGTATTACACCCTCCCTTGAGTCCCTCTGCCAAGTTTTACATCTTCCACTTTACACATTTTTTCCCTGGTTGCTCTGTGAAAGGCTTATACAAACAAGAGGAAACTGATTATGGTGAAATTGATTATAGACAGTGATGTAAAATTACAAGGTAAACTTTCAGAAAACTAAAGGTAAAATGTTTTCTAATCTTTCAATTATAGTGTTCCTTGCAGCAATAATAGGATAAACTTTCAGATAAGCAATTTTAAGTTGATGCTGCCCCTTTAAGTTTCAGGAGTATATAATGTATGTTCAAACTGTTTGAAAGCAGCTTACCTCTGCTCTATACATTGATTTGTAATGTTGAACAGTGTTTGATTTTAGCTATAGATATGCGTCCATATACTGGTGCATATAACCTTATTAATGTAACCTTCGGAAATTATTGGCTGTTCAGGCAGAAATGAATGTGGTATAATACCTAAATAGGTAGAACTGAGTTCCTACTGGGTATTTGGGTACATTGTTACTGTTAAGTACAGGATTTATGCTATAAATTAAGAAGGTCAGAGCCATTTTATATTTGTGATACTTGAACAATGAGAAATAATCTTTCTGGACTTGGGGATGTCTCAGGAGAGTTGTCAGGATTTTAGACTACTACATTAAATTTTATATGTTTTACATGTAACATTAACATCTATAATCAACTAAATATTTCTGTTTCAAACAAGAGAAATTTTCACATAATCATGCCCAAGCCTGTCAGTAATTTTATCTTAACTTTTAAATAGGGTGGATGGCTAAAAAAGCATTAATACTCCAGAAGAGGATTCAAGATCAACACTGAAAGCTCCAAAATGTCAAAAGAAATGCAAAAACTACAGAAACAATGGCACTCCATGATGCAAACCATCCACACCAACTCCAATGTGGGTTTTGGATTATTTTATAATTTGACAGAGCATTATTTATAGAATACTTCTCCTTTCATCATTGCTGGAACATCATGCCCAATTTTATTTTATGGTTGTATGATAATGAAATTTAATTATAAAACTAATATTGAATTTCCAAAGAGAAAATGAGTTCTTCCTTTTAATAAGAGGACTCAAAAGGAACTTCAAAAAAATTAGGGGCATTTCTGTGGTACTCATTACTGTAGCATCTGAATGCCTCACAAATAGTAAGGTTCACAACAGCTCAATAAAGTAGGTGGCAAATATTATCCCCATTTTACAGATAAGGAAACTGGAGCATAGATTAAGTGATCTGGAACCCAGATTTTCTTATTCTTAATAGTATGCCATTACCTCTCTGGTGCGTTCACACCAAAACACAGCATAAAGAAATTGATGTTCTACCTAAAGAAATTGATCTTCTCTCAGCTGCTGGTAGATGGAGGTTGCACAATGGTAGGAAACACATGGACCATTTTTTGTGTAAGCATTAATTTTAGAAACCACCTTTATTTTATATTTAATTTTTGCATCGACGCCTCACAGGTATTGCATATGCATTGCCCCATGACTTAACAGAGAGAGGGACTAATTCTGGGCCTTTGGAAGTCAGTGGCAAAACTTTTATTGGCTTCCAGGAGAGCAGGATTGGGCCCTGGTCAGTTCTGGGCAGCAGATCTATTTTGTTGTGATCCACCAACACAGTATTTTTTCCCATTGATTTTTCAGTGTTGGAGGAGTAAAACATCCGAAGAAGTGGGCTGTAGTCCACGAAAGCTTATGCTCTAATAAATTTGTTAGTCTCTAAGGTGCCACAAGTACTCCTGTTCTTCTTTTTTCTAAAAAAATAGTTATCTTTATAAGGCTTAATTATTTTGAAGGGGGTAATTGTGCAAGCTTCAAATGACAGTAACCTTTCTGGGCACAGTCAGGGCTTTAAAAACACTTAGTGCATATCTTTTTCCAGGTACAGTCATCTCCCTTTCATGCTGTCTGGCTACAGGGAGTTCCCTCTTCCCACATCTTCAGCCATGAAAGAGGGAGAGCGCCTTTAAAGCTTTACTGGTATAACTGTTTTCACTGGGGATGTGTTTAGGTTTTTTTAAACCAGTATAGTTATACTTGTAAAAAACCTAGTGTGGACACAGTTACACCAATATAAATGTGACTTATGTGGTATAGTTATTCCCTCCCTTATATGGGAAAAGCCATACTAGTATAAAGCATCTTTATACCAATATAACTGCATCCACACTAAGAGGGCTGTACCTTTTTAACTATACTGGTATAATTAAAGCAGTACAACTTTCTAATGTAGATGAGCTTGCAGTGTCCTTACATATAGAGGAGGGAAAGTTTGCAAGTTTATAGGTGAGGCAGGATCCCTGAAAGGAAAATTTATGCCCCTTAATTTAGAAGCTTTGAAAAAATGTCATCTAGATACTTGTCCTATTAACAGGATTTTCAGATTTTTAAACAAATATAGCTCATTGGATCAAAATTGTAGCTGGTAAATCGCCACTGAAATCAGTTGTGTTATACCGTGGACCTGCATGTTTTATTTGCAATGTTGACTTTTGGTACTTATTTTATTATGCACGTGTTGAAGTTTGTCAGTATCACAATGAACAGGATACCCCTTGTAAATTATTTTAAGCTATTGCTGAGGAATCTTCACCTCCTCCTGATCTCTCTTCATTGTTTTCACTTTACTGTCAAGTTTTTAAAGATGCTAAAATACATGGTCTGCCTTGCTAAATCCATTGTGATCTCTGCCTTTGTTTCAACATGTGTTGGAGAAACTTTTCTTTGATGTGTTCACTATAGAATTTTTGAAGCATTCAGACATGATGTTGATGAGTGCCCTAAAAGTACCTAGACAGACGGATGCTCATACTTCTGAAACAGAATGGCCACTGCCCCTGACATTAATTCATCAGCTTATGTACTTATAAAATGTTTGTACCCAAAATGTCACTAAAATGGTTTTGACCCCTTTCTCAGGTAATACAGACTTTAAAAAAAATAAAATTAAAATCTGATCTAATTCTACTTTTCTTCTTTCAATCGTTTACAGGTTGTTTCTTTTATGAACTCTCGAGTTGGCCAGTATTTAGATGATCATCCTTTTGTCGCCCTGTCACTGTTGGTGTTTATTGCAATATCTGCTATTCCTGTTGCATTCTTTCTGATATTTGTGATTTCAACCACCATAGTGGCCTGTCTGGGGGTTATCGTCATTGAAGGTATTTTCTTTATCTATTTATTTCCTTACTACAAAGATCAGTAACGTTTAGGACAAAGTTATGTATTTAAAGGATTTTCCTTTCTCTTATCGCTGACCTGCAGAAGTTCTTGGTGCAAGCAAATTGTAATGATCTTTTTGTGATGTCTCTACTTTCAGAAACAGCAACAGTCTTTTAATACCAGAATAGTATTCTAATTAAAAAGGGAGAAAGGATTTTCCTGTCTTGGGTGCAGATAATCCCAATGCTGTACACTGTTAATCCATTTATCCTTGCCATGGATAACTTTCATCTCTGGCCTTCAAAGAGATTTAGCAAGAGCAAGAGCAAATAGTTTTGTTTTTTCTTCTGGACTGTAACAAATGTCCTGTATTAAAATTACTTTCCTCAAGGATACTTCCAGATCTCCTGTCCACCACCAAATAAACTTTGGGCCTGATTATTCCTCTCCAAGGCTCCCCCATGGAAAGCTGTCTGTGAGCCAGCGGATCCACTTGGAAGAGAAGGGACAGATCAGGGTCTGACGTGGGGCAGGATGCACATTGTTTGCTAATCAGCCCTGTGGAGCTCAGAGCAGGAAGATGATGTATTATCTTTCCGTGGTGGGGGAACCTCTGTAAAGACAGCCGTTAGGAGAAGTCATGGCAGTGAAGCCCCAGTGGAGTTATTCTCCACAGCCAAATTGTGGCCAGAGCTGCTGGGGTGGCACAGAGCTTCTGTGCAGAAGATCCTAGCCCCCCACTTCCTCCAATCCTTTCGGATCTGCATGGAGCCTAGAAGATGAGTGAAATTTGGGGGCTGGCCCCACAGGCTACTCCACAGGGAGATAAGCATCACCCTATGAGAATCATCGGGGAAAACTCTGCAAGGAGAACCTAATGGAGATTTCCTCCCCCTTAGCCCACAGGATTTCCTGTGGATGGGGACTATCAGGCCTTCAACTACTACACTGTGAACAGATCAGCTAGTTGTTGTGCTACATCGTTTTCACTGATAGTTTGAATTTGGGACGGCAGTAGATCTCCTGGACCTGGTGTGTATACTTGTATATGTATTTGTGCAAATAAACTAATTCTCTCTTACTAGGTGTTGTCATATCAGTAAGTGGCATAGCCCTTCTTTGTGTGCTGAGTGGCCTGGGCCTCCTTTCATTGGCAGTTTCTGGAGTCCTGAGTATTTGCTACATAGCTCTTTCAACTCTAATCAACTACTGGCATACTCCAAAGTAAGCATTAACATAGTGATCTGTACTGTAATGTCAAACTGCAGCTGTGGCTCGTCATTGGTTACCCTTTGGTTAACTTAGGATAATAAACTCGTCATTCTTGGTCAGTATAGCATGTTACTGTGACCATTAATATGCAGTAGATATCTGTCCAGCCACTAATATTAATGTATATTTTAGTAGGAATTAATATAAGGACCTCTGGCTCTATTTTCTACTTACAGAAGAGGAGGAAGAAATAGTTATATGCAATTATAGAAAGCACTTTTGATACTAATGTAGCCTCATGTCAAACAGGTAAAATTATTCAACTTTTAAAACACAGCAACAAATTAACAGGGTTATGTGGCTGCTTTAAATATTAAGGGCTTGAATGTACCAAATAGAAAGGATTAAGCCACTGTAAAGAAACACATGGTCTGAGAATGCTTTTAAAAATCCTGACTGTTCAGTTCATGCTTTTCGTCTTTTCCTTCCCCTTTATTAAATGAGGCTCTTGTAGAACTTTAGCCATGGTTTGGGTTTCAGTCATTTGATTCCAATGGTATTCTTGATCATTATGTAACTGTTAATAATTCTTTAGATTACTAAATTGAAAGAACTTTTACAGTTTTATTTCCTCTTACCTATGCACTGTGTGTGTTTACTTCTCGACTTAGAATAATTTTACTTTTATAGCCATTTTCTAGTCCATTTACTTTCTGGTTCTCCCGCATTACCACAATTATGCAATGCTTTTGTAGCAACCATTGCAAATAAATATCTATTTTAAAAGCAAAACAAGAAAACCTTTTAAAAAATTGTGGAAATATTTCTGTTAGTGTTTTGTAAAAGCTTGTTTTATGAAACCTGTAACTTATGCTTTGGTCAGATTTGACACAACAGTGTTCTTTTTAATTACACAACCACCTTTCTCTAAGGGCAGGTCTAAACTTAAAAACGCTGTATCGGCACGGCTGTATCCTTGTAGCACTTTAATGAAGACGCTCTAAGACAACGGGAGAGAGCTTCTCCCATCATTTTAGTTAATCCATGAGAGGCAGTAGCTATGTCAGCAGGAGAAGCTCGCCCACTGACATAGCGTTGTCTACACTGGCGCTTCGGTTGTAGCATAACTATGTCGCTCGGGTGTCAATTATTCACATCCCTGAGTGACATCGTTATACCAAAGTAATTCTGTAGTGTAGACCAGGGCTAAGATGCAAGTAGTCTTGGGGCTCCTCTACAAATGCAACTAAGTCAGGACACCTGGTTACAATACTGTTCCATTTTGTAGTGCAGACAGGACCTTGACTGTGTTCCATAATTGAGCTAAAGCCTTGTCCACTCTGCAGAACACAGTTAAGGTCCTGTCTATATTCCAGATTGGAAGCATGTTTTAACTGGGTCAGGGACAACTGTATTATAAATGGTCCAGCAGACTAGAATGTATTTGTATTGTAAATGATGGCCTAAGTCACACTGTTACATGTGCATTCTGTTAGTGAGTGTAAAAGGAGCTAAAGAGGGTTAAGCTGGAGTGCCACCTATAGCCTGCTTCTGTTACTACTAGGGACTAGCTCTATCCACGTAGTACTACTTTCTAGGGTCCAAATCACCCGTCCAGCAGAAGGCAGACATATAGGGAATAAAACTGAGGGTTCCAGCGGAGGATTTTTCTCAGATTTTGCATCTGCAGGGCAGTATCCCTTCCACATCCAAGGACAAACAGAACCACCTGTGGATCCTAAGGGATTTGCCAAAACATAGGATTATCAGGCAGAAGCCCTGTCTTTGCGCTGGCTCCAAAGCTCCCTGCCACTCCTGCTCTCCAGCAGCATGGTTTCAGTGGAATTGTTCTGCTAGGTCTTTTATATCACCTGATGCTCCCAAAAATTTCCCCTCCTTCCTCCACATGAGTGTTGTTCCACATTATACAGCCAAAGCTAAAAAAAATTCATTATATTCATTGCAGGTCTTTGAGGGTAAGTGGACAACATGCATCAAGCCCATCCCCATACATGGATCCCTGGCTCCAGTGAGATAATCGCTGGGAGAGCACCCAGATAATTCAGTAATAGTTGCTCTAGAAATGTTAGATAATAGGTTTGTCAACCCCCATACTGCTCAACTTTCTTTGTGTTGGGTAAGATCTCAACAATCTCCTGTGAAAGCAAAACCCGGTAAATTTGACCATTCTTCTCATTATACAGCAGCCTGATAAAGAAGCAAGAAGGTAATGGAAACAGTGTGCTACAGAGTAGTCCTCCTGTCTTGGACCCTTCTAACAAGAACACGAAGAGCGAATGAACAGGACTTTCCCGGCTTCCTGTCTTCCTTGATATGCACTTACTTGTACTGTTCTGAATTGTAACTTTGTGTTTACCTGTCAAATACTCAAGCTTTGTGCGTTGTTTACGGAAATTGAGACTCAATATGCCTCTTTGGTTGTTGCTGTAAAAATGCATAGGAACAGTATCTTAACCTGTAGTCAATTCAGTGTCATACTAAGTGTACAGGGCATGGTGAGAAATCTTCCAAATACACTACTGCGTCCAATCCTGTTGCTAGAAAAGTAATAATTTCCAATAAAATTGGGGCAGTTTTGTGCATTTGTGTGTTTGAGATTATAACTTGGTGTTAGAATTCTAATCTTAGATGGGGAATGAAAGTGGAACAACCTGACTGCTGCAGTTGGATGTTTTTGCACTTGGGAAATGGCAAAGCACAGCAACACAAGGTAACACCTGTTTGAATACTGGAAAAATATTTTTAAGCCTTAACAGTGGTTAACAAAATATCTGTGTGGTAAAGAACTAAGCCTGAACCATGTTAAATATATATGTTGTTGGAAAAACAAGGTAAAGGAAATTTTACTATGTATAATATTTAATAGCCTAAACCAGTGGTCCCCAAACTGTGGGGCGGACCCCCTAAGGGGGTGGGGAGGAACGTTCGGCGGGGGCGCGACAGGCCTGGGCCAGCCCCCATTGGGGGCAGGGAGGGAGCACCACCTAGCTCCGCTCCTGGCCCCAACCACAGCCCCAGCACTGGCTTCACTCCTGATGACGGTGCCCAGCCCGAGCTCTGGCCCCGCTCCCGGCCCCAGCTCCCCACTGCGGCTCCCAGGGTGGGTGGATGGGGTTTGTGGATCAGATAAGGGGGGGGTGAGCAAAAAAGCTTAGGGACCACTTGTCTAAACTCTTGCATGTTCTGATACCTTCCTCATTCTCCTTCCATCCCACAAGAGGTGCGGGTTAGGGGCTTAGTGTTTTGCCTTATGTGTTTGAGTGTTTTTGAAAGTCTATTTTGCTTACCAATTTCCATTCTTTGAATATGTAACTTCTGTGAACTTTTTCTGGCAGAGGGCAAATACTAACTATCTTACTATCTTTGCTTAAGTAGTAACCTCATGTATCTCAAAGATATTTAGTTTAATAAAGTGCTATTTGTTTATCTGGGTTGTCTTTTTGCTGTTACCCTGTTTATCCTTGCTAAAGTAACAAAAACAAGTTTTCAAAACTTAAACCATAATGAATATTACTTAGAACTAGATTTCAGTTTTTTTACAAGCTCTCTCTTCGTTTTGTATTAACCCAAACACGTCACCTTGTGAGTTATTGCTAAATAAATTTCACAGCCACAAGCTGTCGCCAGTTTGGCATTATTTGGGGATATTCAGCCCTCCTTGTCTTTAAATGGGCAGCAGCATTCTTGGTCCTCAGCTGGTATAATGTTGCAACAGTGCATGAACTGGTACACTGTTTGTCTCTAAACTGAAGTTATATTTCAAATTATCCATCAAAACAAATATACCCCTTAGTGTAGACCCAAATTTACTCCTGTCTCGCACAAACCTGCTGTGTGACTGCAACTTAAATCAGGAATGCTCTAACCTAAAATTAAAAGATTTGGCTTTAAACACCTCCACAGAGACTTTTGTGTTAAATGAACTCAAGGTAATATACCTCTTCTGTTCTTTGAGTCCCTCCTTTCCAAATCTTTCACATTTTAAATTTTATTTAAAGCCATGACAAATTCAGAGTATTGGCTGCAGGCTTTACTACTTGATGACCACACTTTTTCAGATGAATCTATTCTGCTTAATGAAACTGCAGTCCAAGACACAAAGTTCACTTTAATTTTTCACTGTGCTGGTAAGTTTGTCACATGCATATGTGTAGTGAGACCCATCTTTGGCTGTGCACTATATTACATACATACTATGTACATACATACATTAGGGTTCCATCCTGCAACGTGCTCAGTGCGCTCGTCCTTTCAATAAAGCACTTCCACACTTAACTCTAGTGAAGAGAAGTGTGAAGTGTTTGCTTTTGGATAGAACATTATGAAGAGAATTTCTTCATTATGGACCCCAATCCTGCAAAGAGAATTTCCTCCCCCACATTTCATAACATGGTCAAATCAAAACTCACAACTTTTTGTCATTTGAGCCAAAGAGCTGTTTTAAAGTTTAAAATGGGCATTTTTTTCTCCACGTTCCACATACTCGGGGGCGGGGGAGGGGGAACAGTGGAAATTATAGTATTTTGCTTAAACAAAAAAATACCCCACCTTAATCTTTGGACTGAGTGAAAGCCTACAACATTTCATCCCGAAAGGTGAAATAACGATCTTACACTGGAAGTGTTTATGCAACTTTAACAATTGTTGCTACTCCCAGTTTTGGACCACATCCTCAGCTGGTGTAAATCAACACAGCTCCACAATGGAGCTACGTCAATCTTAATCAGCCAAGGATTTGTATGGAAAAACATTGTAACATGGCTGCAGAATGCTGCACTTTTATTCATGTTCATTGCTGACCAAGAAGAATTCACATCACAGCTGTAGTTAGTACAGCACATCGGCAAGTTATTACATACGCTTCTGCCATCTGTGTGAGTAGTCTTACCTGCCGGCTTCCAAAAGGAAAGTGCGTTCTTGAGTGAAGCTTTCAGCAGTGGCTGCTATATCTACAAGTATGCTGGCTTTCAATTGTTGCAATAAAACAAACACTTCCCTTTGCACCTAGAAGAATTGCAGACCCAAAGTAAGGCAAGAGCATTGTAATGAAAATATTGATAAGCAGTAATTGCTTTGCACTTGTGTGTGAAGAAACTCATGTAATTGCAATTACGGTGACTCTGATTTTTAAGTGTAGTGTGTTTCTTCATACATTTCCCTTGCTGCCATTGATGCTAATGGCACAAACTTGTGCATAACAGTTTTCCCCTTATCTCAAAAGCAAGAGAGGAGATGGTTAAGTCCTATTTTCAGAAACGAGTATAAAAGCATGCCCCAAGAAAGGAAGCAAGGAAAAATTTGGAATGACTGGGAGTCAGCTCTTATACTTTTCTTTTCAACCAGCCTTATTTCCCTGTGCAGATACCAGAATGGACCAGAACTGCAATGACCCAGTTGAGAATGCGGTTTGCAAATTAAAGAGACTCCTGAGGGGCAGTGTGACCCAAAGAGTTGTGATGCTGAAAGCATCCTGCCCTATCTGGTAAATGAAATAAGTGCTGTTAGACCTTAAAATCGTCACTGGTCGATGAACCACCAGGATAGAAATTATTGCTAAGTACTAGGAATCCCTGTGGTTAGCAAGAAATGGGACTTGAAATCACATCACTCTGATTATCAGCCTGCCTTTCCTTGCATTACTGCCTACTATCCACTCTCATTAGAACTATTATCCCTAGTATGTAATCTCATCTTCCAAAGTGACTAATATCAATGAGTCTACAGTTCATGAGTGCATTGGCTGCTAAGATTATGTTGTAATTTAAGTTGTGGGAGAAGCAAGACAGTCATTTAAATGAAAGCCTGGGTCCCACCTCATTTATTCAGTTTTTCCAATATTGTATTTATTACATGTAAATTCTATAAAACTTCAACAGTTTCACACAAACCTTGAAAAGAAATCTCCTGATTGGTTCCCCACCTCTCCAACCAGTGCCTGCCTGTGTTGACCATAAGCAGTCCTTGCTTCCATATTCCAGAGATGCTTCAATGGTCCACTGGAGTAAAATGGGGGAAATATTGGGGAAGGGGGAGAGAGAAAGATGAGGTCTTTCATTGCGCTGCACCTCAGCAAGTTTATCAGAAAATGTGATAGCTCCCAATATATTTACCCATCCAGCCCTTATTTTCAGCCACTAGTAGCTCATATTGTTTGAGTTAAAAGCGAATGGAAATTAGCCTAAACCCTAGCAGATACAACTGAAGTTTAGGAGTTTCAGAGTAGCAGCCGTGTTAGTCTGTATCCGCAAAAAGAAGAAGTGGGCTGTAGTCCACGAAAGCTTATGCTCTAATAAATTTGTTAGTCTCTAAGGTGCCACTAGTCCTCCTGTTCTTCTTTTAACTGAAGTTTAATTATTGGCTCTTCAGATTAACTCTTTTCAGGCTGAGAGTGTTATTGACTTACTTATATGAGTCCTGAAAGCTATAGCTGCCCTATATGTTGAATGCATGTGTTTGTGCATGTATGTAATGTATTTCAATTTACTTAGCGCAAGTCCCAATGTCTTTTTATAGAACATTGGTGGATTGAGAAATAAACCTGTGGATCCCAGTCGCTGCCGTATGCACTACATAAATGAGCTCTGCTTCTCTGTTCTCTCTCCCAGTGTGTTAAGAGGCATTCGGCTGACAGCCTGCTGATTGACACCGGAATGTAAGAAGCGAAGTGCCTGTTTCACCTGGCATTGGTGCAGGAGCAGGGGAGTCAGAGCTTTACAACAGCTGCATTTTAACCAACACAGCAGCCTCTCCTGATTCTCAAAGCGGCAGGGTTGAGCATCATCACAGGATCTCCCAGGAACTAGCCACCTTTCTTCTACATTAAACATCAGCACCGCGACATCTTCAAACTATTGATCAGATCCAATTACTGCCGAGGGATGGATTTTAAAACAAATCACACGGAGAGCTTGAACGGCTGCACGGCTAACATCACCAAGGCTGTGCAAAACTTTTCCCTGCCTGGTAAGTAAATGAGTAGGTGAAAATATATATTTGTGTATACTGTCAGGAGGTCTTATATTCAGGGATAATTGCTGATCACTTTTCTCAAAGCTAAAAGTGATGGGACTGGGGCTATTATGAGTCTACTATATAACTAAGGAGTATGTGTATTATATATACACACACGTGGATTTATATATGCATGCATCTGCTGTGTGTGCATATACACAGACTCCTACATTCATAGATACACACACGTACATATATTGTACACAAGATGATACATGCGTGGGTATACACAAACACAGATATGCTGTATTCAAACAAACCTAGATGTGCATATTCATGTGTATACTGTATCTATATGTATGTTTTAGTGTGTGTATACACAAGTGCATATATATGTATAACTAAGTTTGCTGTATATAGCATATATCACTGTACATGTACACGTGTGTACACACAGATACACATACACCTCGATGTCTGTCTATATGTGTGAGTGTAAATAGATTTGTGCATGTGTATAGGCATATATATTATATTAACACACCCGCCACCTTATGTCTGTGTGGAAAATACATTATTCTTATGTTCCTATAAGATTATCATTGTTTTATTAGAAACCAGGAGGTCTAGTCTGTAAAGCCCCCTGCTCATGGCACACATGCCCTGATGTTTCTCTGCCTATGCTCTGTCTCTGCAGGTGAGCCCAGCACGGTAAGCTATACTGGCTTCATCATGCCTACCCTGTTTGGCATCATCTTCTTCCTAGGCATCATTGGTAACAGCCTGGTGATCTGCACAGTCTTTAAGAAATCCAGCCCCAGGAGCAGCGTCCCAGATATCTTCATCACCAGCCTCTCCATGGTGGACCTGCTCTTCCTCCTAGGCATGCCCTTCCTCATTCACCAGCTGCTGGGCAATGGAGCCTGGCACTTTGGGGAAACCATGTGCACCATTATCACTGCTCTGGATGCCAATAGCCAATTCACTAGCACCTACATCCTCACTGCCATGTCCATTGACCGCTACCTGGCCACCGTGTACCCTTTCACCTCCACTCGCTTCAGGAAGCCATTTGTGGCCATCCTGGTGATCTGCATGCTCTGGGCCCTCTCTTTCCTCAGCATCACCCCAGTGTGGATGTACGCCCGGCTCATTCCTCTGCCTGGGGGGCTGCTGGGCTGTGGGATTCGGCTGCCAGACCCACAGAATGACATTTACTGGTATACTCTCTATCAGTTCTTCCTCGTTTTTGCCATCCCCTTTATCCTCATCACTGTGGCCTACAGGAGGATCCTGATCAGGATGGCCAAGTCCTCAGAGGCACTTACTGGCCAGAGGTGCACCAGGACCTGCACCAAGAAAGTGACGCGCGTGGCCATTGCCATCTGCCTGGCCTTTTTCATCTGCTGGGCGCCTTACCATGTGCTACAGCTGGTGCAGTTAACCATGCACCACCCCACCCTGCCCTTCTACTATGCCTACAACGTGGCCATCAGCATGGGCTATGCTAATAGCTGCCTCAACCCCTTCATCTACATCCTGCTAGGGCAGACCGTCCGCAGGAGGCTGGTGGTTTCCGTCAGGCCGGCTGCTGCAGGGGAAGAGGCTTCCCAGAATGCGGGCAACAGCGCACAGGGGGACCCCAGCGAGTCAGGACAGCCACTGCTGCACCTGGTGTCTGTCTCTGGCAGGTGAAGAGATCAGCAGCAGGTGGGAGATTCCCACACAGCCGAGAAAAGCCCTGGTGGTCTCATTTACTAACTATAGACATTCCTGACCAACGCACACACAGATGTTTGGCTGAGTATCAATGGCTTTCTGTGGTGGGAGTGGTTCCTCTGCCCAGCTGAACTCTTGTGGCTGGAAACAGATTTCTGCAGCATCAACATTTGGGCTGGGTTCTGTCTGGCACTGAGCCAGTTCACATTTGTCCTCCAAATTCTTCCTGACTAGACGTGAATTACTTTCCCCCCTGGCATGTGAAAGGCTTTTGCACTCCTCATACATTCTCACTGGAAGGGCCCAGGCACCAAACATTTTAGTGTTGGCGTTAAATTCCATACAAGCAATGAGCCACGGCTTGGCTGAGAGGCACTGCCATTGGATCACACCTGGCATGAGTTTCAACTTGTTTTAAGTGTGTGAAGAATGAAGATGCCGTAAGATGAGCTCTGATCCTTCTCCCCCAGGGGCAGATCAGGAATCTAATACATTTTAAAGCAATTCAACAATAGCATTTTCACTTCTCTATTTACATCATTCCATCTGCATGCAATCATTAACCATGGCCAATATTGTAATCATTTTCTAGTGATCAAAGCCAGCTTTCTGCCAGCAATATCAGCTGTCCCAGAGCCAGAAGAATAATTTCAAATGCATTTAAAATTAAATCTATGGATTGAAAATAGACAAAGAATGACTGTTCTGAACTGTATTATAATAGTACACCCACCAACATAACTTGAATGATTAGCTGTCACCAGATCATCAAACCATTTCACAGTGGAAAATAATGATTGGACTCTATGCACATCATTACACAGAAGTGTTTGCTGATACTGGCAGCACATCATCTCCACATTCCTATAACCATAAAATTTCTCCAGCAGCAGGTAGCAATCCTTTGATGAACATAGGTTTCCAAAGCATTAGGCCCAAGACTTTCAAACATTCTTTTGGGTGACTCTGTTTTTGGGTGCCCAATGTGAGGCACCTTAAAGGAACCCAATTTTTAGAAACCTCTAAAAAAAAGATCAGGCCTCTTAGGCATCTCATGTTGGGCACCCAAAATCACTAGTTTTGTTTTAGATAGTGGCCATTTTTATTATTAAAGCAGTAATGAGTGTCTATGTCCATAGATATATGAGTGAATGGGAAAGACAGTAGTAACAGCAAAGTTTCCATAACACTCATTATTCCTATCATTTATCATCAGAAGACAGCTTTTCATAGTTTAAAAAAGTCTTTGCTTTTTTTAAAAAATATGGTGGTGGGTCCATAAACTCAGTACAAGGCAAAATAATTTACTTTAAAGAAGCACACACTAAATCAGAATTTATCATCATGTTTTATTAAGAAGAACTTTAAAGTATACACAATCCTCTGTCATGCTCCATAGCTCTTTATTTTAAAATGAACAACTACGATTTCTTATTTGTCTATATTGTGTTCTATTCAGGTTCCTAAATAGTGCCCCGGACCATGGTATTCAAGTACCTACGTGCTAACTGAAAAAAATGCGTTGCCTGTTATTTTATATGTACTGTGTAACTCTGAGTTTCCCAATCTTTTTACTCTAATCTGTTGGTCTTTAAGCCTCTTAGTCTATGAGCTGTTCATTTAGCCACCTGTATGCTGAATGAATACACCATGTAACTGCTCACTGGAGACATGCTACCAGGGACTCCCCCAGGCTGTGGCTGTTTCTAGAAGCCCCAAGAGGGAGCTCCACAGATGAGATACTAAAACCCTCAGTCAGTATTCTCTTCTTAAAGTGAACCTCCAAGAGGCTGGAGAGGATATTTGTCTTCACCCTGCATGGACATGAGACCCATATAGAGTCCCCAAAAGAAGTGTGGAGCACTGCCACAGCAACTGGTATGCACACGCACACACACTTCTACATGGGAAGGGGGAAATCTGGACACATGGCGAGTACCCGCCGAGTCCATTTTAAAGCCCACTGAAGTCAATGGAAAGATTCCCATTGGTTTCACTAGGCTTTGATCAGGGCTCTTGTGCAAACTTGAAGGGGTGATCTGGCTCCAGGAGTCTATTCTTTTCCTATATACTCTGGGGTTTACATGCCTCCATTTGTCTGCACTGTTGAATGTTCAGCATTTACTCTCTGCTATACTTTCACCTTCTCTTCCTCCACAGAAACGATTAACTGGATCGTGTCATTTAAGACTTTGTCACTCAACTTTGACAACTGCTAAAACAATGGTCAGACTGCTTTCTCCAAAAACAACGCATGGGTATATTCCACACCCGCACAGAACCTCGCACATCATGATCCCACACATCACATGGCAGAGGGCACTATTAGAAATAAAAAAGGTTTACTCTTTCCTCTTAACGTTCCCTTCAAGGTCCTGAAGCTCAGCTAATGTAGCTCCACTGAAGTCAATTTCCATTGAAGCCAATGAAGCTATGCTGATTTATACCAGCTGGGGATCTGGCCCTAAATGATCTATTTACTTGTGCCTTTTAAACTGATTTTTCATGCTGAATACTTGATGTGAGTCAAAATAATGAGGTTTAACTTCGACTACAGGTGCTAACCAGACACGGATTAATTTCACTCCAACATTCTTATGATTCTGGCCTCTGACAATTCATTAGAGCCACTATCATTTTAAAACTCCCTGCTGTGTTTGTTTGTTGTTAAATGTCCCTATTTTCAGCACTGTATCATCACTAAGATTAACATAGTGTCTGACCTGGGAAAGTTAGAGTGCTGATGGCTGGTACAGCTCAGGCCAGGAGTGCCTTGATTATTACTAGAAAGTCTAATCCTTCAGATTGCTCTGTGATAGAGTTCAGTAAGTAAAACAAATACCCCTTTGTTACAGAAAAGAACACTGCTATTTGAATGTTGCGCTATTTATGAGACTAGATGATCACAATGGTCCCTTCTGCCATGAAATCTCTGAAAACCAACTCATGGCCATATCAGACACTGTTTTCAAAGGTCGGATTGTTTTAAAGCACTTGGAGTATTTACCGTATCTGTCCTATTTCAGTGGCATTAGAGTGGTTCAATTAATAGACCAGGTGTACAGTCACATAGCCGTTACTTGTAATGAGTTAAAGTAGGTGGCTATATGGGGGAGAGGCACATTCTTGCAAGTAGACATCAACGACTGTCCAATTGCATGTTTATAAAATGTTCAAAAGTGACTTTGCCATCCAGATTATCCCGTCTTTACTCTCCCCTCCATGACAGCTCTTTTGTGGTACAGCACACAGTTAAACAGCAAGATGATGGCTATATCTTCCACCACGTAATACAAGGAGCAGCATTATGAACATCAGCTTCTCTGCACTGCTTTCCCAAAGTCTGTTCGGTGAGAGAATTCCTTGGGGGAGGAAGTGTCCCATCATGCTCATGAAAGGCAGAATCAGAGACCACAGTAGGTGTATCCCTACACTGCAGAGTGTGACTCACATCCAGGCTTGCGTGCCTGCGAACCCACATGAGCATCCACAGTGCAGAGCTACACACAACCTATACCTGTGCAACCCTGGCCATGCTGGCACTGCAGTTACATGGGGGCTAGGGTTTCTGGGGGGAGCATATCCCAGGATGCTGAGTGCTTCACTAACTGGAACCATTCTAGGAATTGGTTTGCAATGTATTGTGGGAGAAGTTGTCTGTCCTTCCCAGGTCTCTGTGCAGAAGTGTTCTTAGCTCTCCTTGTTTCTGTCCATTCCAGCTGGAACCACACTGTGGATTTAGCACCAGTGGGTGAGACGTTATTGCAGAGTACAGACAGAGGCATGGAACAGTGGGAGGATATTTCAGTAGCAGTTTCTGACTCTTGGATGGTGGTGGCTGATCTCAGGAGAGTTCATTTATGACACACTGGAGACACCTGTTATATGCTGCAGTAGCTCAGGATTGCCCATGTGTAGCTCAGCATTTCTGGTGTAGGGCAGCTAGCACAGCATGGTGGGGTCACATGGTCATGCAGACCTGGGATGACTAGCAATGGCTCCAGACCTTCATGGAGCGGTGTGAAAAGCTTGCACCTACTTCTCACTGTCAGGACACGCACAGGAGGGAGGCTGTACCAGTACAGAAGCAGGTTGCTATTTCCACCTGGAAACTGGCTGTGACAGGATCCCCGTAGTGCAACCTGGGACTGTGGGACCGCTGTGTCCCCTTAACTCTCCAGCCAGGGTTGTCTCTCACAATGCCCTGCTAGTGACCAGCAGCAAATCCCTCCAGGTGCTGTCGTCACTCAGCACAACTGCATATGGAGCCCCATATCCAGCTATATTGCATGAATGCTCCCAGATCCACTCATGAATCACACTGAGAAAGGCACCAGCCAAATCCCCCCAGGTCCCAGCCTTGTACCTCAGGAATATACCATCTTGCACTGCTCAAGATGAGCAATGCATATTTATTGATTGGTTCACCACTTCATCAATGTAAAGCGGATATACACTAGCCTTTGCAAACCTGAGCAAACACCCTTACCAAACACTTCAGGCAAACTCACTGGTAAAGATAAACAGTTAAACAAATGTATTGACTACAAAAGATAGATTTTAAGTGATTATAAGTGATAGGCAAAAAGTCAGAGTTGGCTACCAAAATAAAATAAAATAATAAAATATAAGCACACAGTCTAAACCCTATTAGACTAGGCATCAACTAGATTAAGCAGTTTTTCCTCACCCTATTGCAGGGGTAGGCAACCTTTCAGAAGTGGTGTGCCGAGTCTTCATTTATTCACTCTAATTTAAGGTTTCACATGCCAGTAATACATTTTAACGATTTAGAAGGTCTCTTTCTATAAGTCTATAATATATAACTAAACTATTGTTGTATGTAAAGTAAATACGTTTTTTAAAATGCTTAAGAAGTTTCATTTAAAATTAAATTAAAATGCAGAGCCCCCCGGACTGGTGGCCAGGACCTGGGCAGTGTGAGTGCCACTGAAAATCAGCTCGCGTGCCACCTTCGGCACGCGTGCCATAGGTTGCCTACCCCTGCCCTACTGGATGTTCCAGGCCTTAATATACAGGTTTGTCCCTTAAACCTGGGCCAGTCTCCTCTGTTGGAGTCTTCAGTGTCCTTGTTGCTTGTACTGTAGGTGGGGGAAGGAGAAAGGCCTGGCATGTGGCCACTGTGTTCTGTTTTATACCCTTAGTCCATGTGCTTGAAGAACACAAGTCCAGACATGCTTGGTGGGCATTGCTGAGTCACAAGGTGGAGCAATACCCCCAGTGTGTCTCCTGAGAGAGGGTCATTGAATTGTAACTCCTCTGCTGGACAGTGGCTGGTGATGTCTGTTCAGCACCTACCCAGGCGTTGGTTACCTCACTTGTCATTGTCTCTGGAGAGTTAGTATCTGGGCGCTTCCCCAACCCACCGCATATTTTAGTGACAGCCATACAACACAATTCTCACAATTTCATATGCCCTACAGGCAACTCTTGATTGACCACAAAGGCAGGTTGGTGAACAACAGCATGAGGTACTAGAAAGGTGCACATGATGCTACAGTGCTCAGGAGATCTGGCATTTAGCTGTTTGGACAAGCAGGGACCTTATTCCCTCCAAATAACACAGTTATCAATGTGGTGTCTGTGTCCATTGTCGTTTTAGGGGACCCTGCTTACCCCCTACTGATCTGACTCATGAAACTGTACCCCGATCACAGAGCACATAGCAG